TGTAGAGTCTTGATACCTCCGTAGTGCTTTCTATGCTTTCGCAGAATTTTTGAAAGCTTCTGCGTTTAGAGGCCCTAATTTCTCTATTGTACAAAGTAAGTTTTTTCCTATATTCTGACCAGTCTCCTGTTCGCTTTGAGTAGTTAAAAAGTCCTCTAACAGTGTTTCTTAGGTTTTTAAGGTCATTGTTCCACCAAGGCACATCCTTGATGGAGTTAATCAGGCTTAATGGACAGCTATCCTCATATGCATTTAGTATGGCCCCATTAAGGTTTTCTAGGTAATTTTCTAATTGAATTTCATTCTGAATGATTTCATCTAGCCCTAATTGGACAAGATTGTCTTTCAGATTTTCCGTGTAGTTCTCCCAATTTGTTTTTCTTGGGTTCCTTAAAATTTTTTTGTTAATTGGTGAACCTTCAATGTCGAACCTTAGAATTCTATGATCAGACATAGATGGTTCACTGGATACTCTCCAGTTTTTCACAAGCTCACAACCTCGAGTATTTCCTATAGTAATATCTAGGACCTCTTTGCGTGAGATAGTTACAAATGTTGGTGTATTTCCTACATTACATATTTCTAATTTTTTACTAGTTATAAATTCTAAAAGGTACTCACCTCTTATATTGGTGTTAGTGCTTCCCCAAACTTCGTTGTGTGCGTTGGAGTCGCAACCGAGTATAAGAGGCAATTTCATTCTCTCGCAGTAGTTTACCAGTTTATCGACCTCTGCAGATGGTACCTGAGTGTCGTCTCCTGGTAGATAACCTGTAGCTACGACTACGTTCCGTAGAACTCCGTTGATGTTGGCCGGAATCTGTATGGCAACGAGGTCCCTGGAGAGAAATTCTGAAAGACAGATAAAGTTGATATTAATATTCAATAAAATGCAGGTTCTTGGTTTATCACATCTTACATCCCAAATTGTCTGCATATTCTTTGCAGTCAAACCACAGATTCGACCCCTGTAAATCCAGGGTTCTTGGACCAGCACTATGCTCAGGTTCGATTTGAGCGTAGCCCTTGCAATAACTGCCGACGCAGCTTTTGCATGGTGGATATTTATTTGGGCGATTCTAGTGCTGGTCATCAGGTGGTTATTCCTCCTTCGTTTCTTCTATCAGACCGTCGTCGATGTCTGACAGAAAGATTCTTTCGGAGTCTTCCTCGGACGCCAGGTTCAGTAGAGAGAGATCTAGATTCTCAATGTCCTCACTCTCGTGAGGTAGCACGCTGATATCTTCAATCTTCTCGCTCCTGGTCGCCTCCTCCTCCACTAGTTCCGCAACAGTTGCAGGTATCGTTCCTACAGCTGGTGTATTTTCCCCAGCTGAGTTACTTCTTTCCTTGTTGTCTCGTCCCTTATGCAGGTGAATTGGGACGGAACTGAATCTGTAGAAGATCCTACAGCCGTTGTTTGTTATGGCTTCCTGAGACCGGTTGTCAATCCCGATTGTTAGGAGTTTGCCATTTTTCAGATCCTTGCTGCTAAAAACTCTCCACATCTGAGTATGTAGACCCTCATTTTGAGTTATGAGCAGTTTTAGCAGCTTTTCCGTGTCGACCCCTTTAGCTCTTGGGAGGTAGACTGTCAACATGTGTAATTTCGGTATTTTGTCCCCGACACACGTGGTGAGTTCAGCGCCTTCTCATCCGTTCAGCTTAGGTGCCGTTCCATGGATAAAATTAGCCGCATCCTCGTCTACGCAGTCAACCAGTATAAGTCCTGGGCGAAAGTGTATCCCGCTAAATCGTAGCTTGGCATCCCATCCTTTATACATCTCCTCAATGAGAAGTTCCTCGATTTTACCTTGCTCCTCCCTAGAAAGAGTAGATTCCGGGTAAGATTTCGGAAGAATTGCTATTCTTAAGCTCTTGGCTACATTAGCGTAACTGCTGCCCGATATTATTTTTCTCGGTTGTTTTGGTGCTGTCATTTGCGTACCATCCTTTGCTTGTGGAGGTTTCTCATTCCCTCTTCTTTTCTTAGCTGATTGATGATCGATCGGACTAATTTCTTGGGCAGACCTCTTCTTAGAGTCTTGATTGCCCCTCGGCCGATTGAGCGCCTTTTCCTTGGCTGCCTCCGGTGCTAAGCCTTCTTTGAGATAGCGCAGGTACCATTTTGTACCCGCACCGCTCAAACCAGTAGATTTCCTGGCGTCGCGAAAATTTGGCCGGAGGTTAGTCCAGTGCTTGTCGAGGGCTGTGGTAGTGTTTCGATCGTTACATCTTTTGGTGCAACCTTTGAACCCAGAGTTCCTTGACTTCCTTTTCGTAACGAAGGTTCCGTTTTTGATTCAGTTGGCAGAGAGCTAGTATTGTTCCTAGCTTCTTTGCCCTCAGTACTTTTTTCCGGTTTCCGTTTTGGAAAGGGTGCCTGGCGATCGGTATGTTGGATATCAGACTCCGACCGATTTACCAGTTTATTTGCAGTGTGTGTTCCTGCTGGTTTTTTTATATTGTTTTTATTATTATTATTCAAATTATGTTCCATTAAATTCCCACGAGTGTGGGGGAAAGGAGGTCCGCCGTGTCATAGCCCCCGATAACACGGTAAGCCCACAGTTACTCAATGAGGCGGGCAGGTATCATTGAGGTGCGACGCTAGAATACAGTCTGTTACCCCCGACTGCAAACAAGTCCGATGAACACGTGCAAATTCCGGATTGGGGGGGAAGATGGAGGTGGAGAGGGATAGGGGTATTGAAATGTTGATAGTAGGGAATATTTAGGAATGGGAAGGTGCGGGTTTGGCTCGCATTAGCCGCTATAAGCGTTACCAGGGATCACCACGTGGAGGCCCTCCTTTCGAAGGGGGTGAGTACTTGGGATTAGTCTCACCTGCGAGTCCATCTAGTGAAATACTAGGATCCCCAAGCATTAAATATCTAGGGGTCACTTTTGACAAACGGCTTAATTGGTATAAACATATTAAATGCAAACAGAATAGTTGCTCTAAAATTCTACATCTCCTTAAGTCGCTGTTTAATAATAATTGTTTCAACCTCAAAAATAGAAAGCTATTATGTACTCAAATAATTAGGCCGGCACTACTGTACGGATGTGTAACATACAGCAAAGTCTCAAATACTGCCATAAAGCTATTACAGATAGTACAAAATCTGGCTTTAAGAAGACTAATCAAGATTCCTTGGTATATTAGAACAGCAAACATACATAGAGATCTAAGGATCGACTCAGTGAAAAAATATATCAAGGACAGAGCCGTAAAATTCTTCACAAAAGTTGATACGTTATCCAACCCCGCCCTAACAAACCTTAAGTCCACCTCAGGATGCACAGGAAGATGTGCTGATCTACTGTTCGTCATCAGTTAAAAGATAAATAAATAATAATATTTCTAGTATCGTTAAAGCTTAGTGTGGGGTAGGGATAAGTCCTCCAGATACAAAAGAGTAAAAGTGCGCAATAACACTAACTCAAATAACAACAACAACATAATAAATTTATTTTTTTTATTCTCTAAGGGCTTTAAATTTTTTTGCTTCTTTAGTGGTATTCGGTAGCACTTTGTTTTATTTTTTTAAACATTGAATATAATTATACAGGCTTTCCCTTAAGCAACTTTTCGGAAATGTACTTTTTCTTCGTTTTTTTTTCTGGTGCACTTCATCTGTTTTTTGGAGTTAAATGAAATGGGTAAGTGAACAAAGTCATATCCATCAGCACGTTTCATTGACAATTACAACGAAACCTTATTGATATTTGTAATTTCAAATATAAACTTCTTTAAACATTTACCGGCATGTTACTAATTCCTGTTATTTTTAAAATGTAATCACATGATTTCATAAATAAATAGTTAAATTAATTTCTTTTAACAGTCAAACTAAAACGCTTTACGCACACCTAGAAGGATGGAATCCTTAATTCTGTGACAATGACAATGTCAGTGATTATCATTTTAAAAGTTAAAGCAAAAACAATTAAATATTATTGTCTATGAAAACTCAATTAATTTGCTTCTCTTAGCTATTATAGTCGTTAGTTGTGCTCATAAGTTTGCAGCTCACATCGCAAAACATTTCTATCATATCTCGTCTTTCCCCTTTAAGCAATTGCATTTATAAATTTCTGTCATAAGTGCACAAAAGTAGAATGAACAAAATAATGTTCTAGCTTCAAATATGAGAAATGGAGATTGGGAATTGTATGAGAGTATTTTCTGTTCTATTCGAATATCAACTACATGTATAACAATTCAACATGTTGACTTGCCGAAGCGGTTAGATGTGCGGCTAATGTTTTCAGCCCATATCACCATACATTTCTTTCAAATTTCGTCTCTCGCCTTTTAGCTGTTGCTCCAACGAATAATAACCGCTTTGTGTGCGGAGTAGCTGGCCGCACTTTTATACGTTGCAAGTGTGTTTGATTGTGTTTGATCACTGCATAAACAAGTATGGTTATAAATACAAACTCTTTTGTTTGAAAAAAGTTGGTTTGATATTGTAAGATATATGTGAAAAGTTGTATTTATTCCATATTGATATAATATTAAACTTATACATAAATTATTTATTTAATTTGTTTAATATGTTATTTTGTTAATGAATTATCAAATGTTATATTGTGAATACATTGTTGCCTAATGTAATATAGTTATTATTAATAAAACATCTTATATATTTCAATTTATCATTTTTAATTTAAGTGGTACATGTTTTTTTTTACAATATTGTAGATAGAACACATGTCGCCACTGCTTAGTAGCAAATATAGTTAATATAAATCTATTTCTTATAAATTTTGATAGCACACTTCTAATATTATAATAAGTGACTATTTTTATAAAGAATAACATTAGGAAAAAAACTAGTTTTTAGATCTCTGTGATACATTAAGAAATTAAAATATGGTATAAAGATAAGTTTTAAACGATTCAAGATAATTTGATTCGAATGCATTTCATAAAAATTTGTTATAATTATTATAAGTTTTATTTATTGGACACTTTTCTTATTCACTATAATTTAATATTAAAGTTTGGCGCTATGTCTAAAATAATCGATTCTATTATAATTTTCATAAATTTTGCGCCAGAAATCCATACGATTTTCTTCAGGATTTTTTTTCATTTCAAATTGTTTATCAATAGATAAATAATCTAATTCGAATTTACTGTCTTCCGTTTTTGGGCATCGCACTGGCTTCCAGTTGATTGTATTAATAGTTGGATTTCCATATTTTGCAAAATTTGTCCAAAGCTGACACAATTTATTGGCAAATATTTCATCGTCTGGTGTTAGAGTTGTTTTATCATCAGCTGTTTGAAACATATAACATAATTCATCGTTATGACATGCCCCATTGAGTGCTTCAACTTGGAATATTCGTTTATACATATTGAGATCACCAATATAATTAAAGCGATAAAAGAATAATGGTGCATTCGATTGATAACGGGCTTGATACTCTGCGGCACGCTGCATGTCAACAACAAAGTGATAATCACTCAATACATTTGCGAGTTCATTTAAGGATTTTTCATTTATAATTCCACCTTTAAAATAAAAATTTCGCATTTCTTTAGCGATGGCTTTAATACCAGGACTATCTACTGGCAATGGTATATCACGTGGTACAAACCGTTCTAAGTCATTTTCTATAGCATTAATTTGGCTTAATCTATAACTTAAAACAATTAAACCTTCGGCAGAATTATAGCCCATTATAGTTGGAATCTTCACTACATTCATTTCCTGTAAGCTTTTTAATATAGGTTTTTTGATAAATATGTCAGGACTATTTTTATCTTCAACTACTGGCTTAAAGGGTAATGGAAGACCACGCCGCAGTTCATCTTCTGTTAGTACGCCCAGTGTGCAAGCTAATATTCTATCGGCAGTCACTGCATCTGATTGCAAAAATGTTAGTATATCACTTGTTTTATTCGACTCACAACCTAATAATTTAGCTAATTTTCGGGTTTTATAGCCTGGATTCGATTGGAATGACCATTCCATATTAGCCGTACCACTTTGCATTATAACTTTGTGAAAGTATTTGTTTGCATGATCGGCATAAGAATGCATATGAACAGAAATTGCTCCTGCACTTTGACCAAATATTGTTACATTATTTGGATCACCATTGAATTTTGCAATATTCTCCTGTACCCATTGCAAAGCAAGACGCTGTATTAGTAGAACAAAGACATTACAAATCAGTTTTTAATTGATCACAATTTATTATTTACTTGATCTTTTAATCCAGCATTACCATAGATGCCTTCCTCGGGTAAACTTAAAAATCCCAATGGTCCTAAACGATAATTAATTGTGACAACAATAACACCATGTTCCATTAATTTAAGTGGATAGAAACTATAATGAAAACCGGATAAATTATTAGTTTAATTAATTTAAATTAATGAAAACTCACAAATCACTGTTTCCACTACCAAACCAGAAGCCACCACCATGTATCCAAACCATAACTGGCAACTGGATTTCAGATAATTGAGATAATTGAGGCGCATAGACATTTAAATGGAGACAGTTTTCTGAACCAACAATTTTTTGAAGAAAAAGATTACGATGATGTGACATGTCGCGCTCTTTAGAACAATCCAATTCCTGTACTTCAAATTGTTCAAGCGCCACAGGTGACTATCCAAGTCGAGAACATAATTAAAATACAAATTAACAAATTAATTAAATTAAATTAATTAAAATTACTTTAAATCTAAGCGTTCCAACTGGTGGTTTTGCATATGGTATTCCTTGAAAACTATTAAATGGTTTTCCATTGGGCAATAACTTCTGAACACCAGCAAGCGTTCCTTGTTTTATTTGAACTTTGATCATCTCTTCGTACTTCGTTAGAGCCTTTGTTAATTAAAACCTTTTACATTTAACGTTGATAAGCATCTGAAGTTAACTCAAAGCAAAGCTAACATTTAATAAGCCCCTTCTTATATATGTATTAGTTTAAATACTGTAATTACGGTTATATTGAAATATGATTTTATTATTTGAATATGAGAGAACATACAAAACATTAATATCTATTTAACTGTATGAGAGACAACTACCAATCACTTATATCTATAGAACTGTATGAGAGACAACTACCAAGCATTTATATCTATAGAACTGTATAAGAGACAACTACCAAGCATTCATATCTATAAAACTTTATGAGAGGCAACTAACAAGCACTTATATCTGTAGAACTATACATTTCAGTTGCTCTATTAAATAAATGCATACTTATCTTATTTGTTGATTTGATCTATTTTTTATGGTCTTATTAAAAACTTTCATTAAAAGAAAAAAGTAACTAATTAATTTTGTAAAAATTGCTAATATAATTTAGTTACAAGTAAAAATAATAATCAAATAAATTGTAAAATAATTATATTTTACCATTTGACAGAAAGTCATACCAGAGAAAAATTGATTTCCACTGGAAAAATAGAATTACCTTAGTTATAAAAAGATTAAATATAAATATTTGGATTAGTTAAATTGGATTAATATTTATTGATATTGATTACATTGGATTGACATTATCTGACATTATATGACATATAACTATATTTAATTGTATTGAAGTGAACACATCCTTAACGATTAACTTTACTAAACTGACTACATGTTTTAAAATTAAGCAACGAGTAGAACTTATACTCTCGACTTTCATCTAATCATTTATATATCAAAAAAGGGCCAAAAATAAATTCATAAGAACCATATTTTGTATCTTCCTTTATAGCACAAACATATATTCTTTTGTCCATATGGTTTTAAGTCAGTGAGACAAATACGGGTCTGTATTAAATAAATAATGCAATACAATTTTTCAACATATATTGTATTATATTGTATTTATTTCAATAACATTTTCTTGGAGGTATTGTGTTTTTATAAAATTCACACACACATATTTTTTGATCCATTAAACGAATCGAATCAATATAGTAGTATTTTTTTAGTATTAGTATTATTAGCTTTAATTTTAATTCATTTTAAATTTGTTGTATAACATAGAAATTAATAGCAATTATATTATATATATAAAGCTTACAGCTATGGCATTTTAACCGTCTGCCGGAAGTTTAGATGAATCTAATAACTAGTTTTTATAAATATTAAATAAATATTATTACTTATAAACTCAATACAATCAATATTATATTATATATTATCGAATCAATATATTATAGTTATATCTTTCTACCTGTATTTTTGAATGCAAGTTTATCTAAGATCAAAAAATTGAGAATATAAAAATTTTGTAAATGAACTTTGGTCGTTTATTATGATGAAATTGGTTATCAAATGAAGTCATCTCCATCTGAACACTTCATTGATAACTACAATGAAATCTTATCGAAATTTGAAGTTTCAAATATAAACTTCTTTAATAACAAGCTTTAAACATACTGATATTATTTATAGTCTTTTTGGTAACTACTGGTAGCTGCATTGATATCTTCCCATTCAAACAAAAAATTGATAATTTAAGTGATTATAGTAGGGGAGGAGAAGAGGATTTATCACATAATTATTTTTACAACAATCTATGTTATCTCTCGTGTGAACTCCAGATCTCTAGATTTTAAAAGTTATGAAATATTTTAAAATGCAGTGCTTTAAAAAAAGACCAGTCTTTAGGTAGGACGACAGAATCAAATGCGTATAATTAAAAAAATAATACGAAACTGAATGTCTATGATTATAGTCCTACAAACTGATGTGAAAAAACTAATATGATTGAAAACCAATTTTTGTAGTCTGTAAAAAAATAGGTATTATAAATTCGCTTCTTATAATTTGATGACATATTTTTGACATCATATAATATATATTACCGGTCTTAAATATTAAGAGTTGGAATTAAGATAACGATTCCAAGTTAATTGAATTCGAAAATATTTTATTCAAATTTAATATACTTATCATAAGATTTATTTATTGCACACTTTTCTTATTCACTTTAATTTGATATTAAAGTTTAGCGCTAAGCCTAGAATAATCGATTCTATTATAATTTTGATAGATTTTGCGCCAGAAATTCATACGGTTTTCTTCAGGATTTTTTTTCATTTCAAATTGTTTATCAATAGACAAGTAATCTAATTCGAATTCACTATCTTCCGTTTTCGGACATGTCACTGGTTTCCAGTTGACTGCGTCATCAGTAGTTGGTTTTCCATATTTTGCAAAATTTGTCCAAAGCTGACACAACTTATTGGCAAATATTTCATCATCCGGTGCTAAAGTTGCTTTATCACCAGCTGTTTGGAACATATAACATAATTCGTCGCCATGACAAGCTCCATTAAGTGCTTCAAATTGGAATATTCGCTTGTACATATTGTGGTCACCAATATAATTAAAGCGATAAAAGAATAATGGTGCATTCGATTGATAACGGGCTTGACACTCTGCGGCACGCTGCATGTCAACAACAAAGTGATAATCACTCAATACATTCGCGAGTTCATTTAAGGATTTTTCATTTATAATCCCACCTTTAAAATAAAAATTTCGCATTTCTTTAGCGATGGCTTTAATACCAGGACTATCTACTGGCAATGGTATATCTCGTGGTACAAATCGTTCTAAGTCATTATCTATAGCATTTAATTTCCGTAATGCATTAGATAACAAAGCTAAACCATCGGTAGAATTATAGCCCATTATAGTTGGAACTTTTACGACATTAATTTTTAGTAAGCTTTCTAATATAGGTTTTTTGATAAATATGTCAGGACTATTTTTATCTTCAACTACTGGCTTGAAGGGTACTGGAAGACCACGCCGCCGTTCATCTTCTGTTAGTACACAAGGACTAGAAAGTAGTATTCTATCAGCGGTTACAGCATCTGATTGCAAAAATGTTAGTATATCACTTGTTTTATTCGACTCACAACCTAATAATTTAGCTAATTTTCGGGTTTTATATCCTGGATTCGATTGAAATGACCATTCCATATTAGCCGTACCACTTTGCATTATAACTTTGTGAAAGTATTTGTTTGCATGATCGGCATAAGAATGCATATGAACAGAAATTGCTCCTGCACTTTGACCAAATATTGTTACATTATTTGGATCACCATTGAATTTTGCAATATTCTCCTGTACCCATTGCAAAGCAAGACGCTGAAAAATTCAAACAAAAATATTATATGTTTTTAGAAAATGATAGTTTATTATTTACTTGATCTTTTAATCCAGCATTACCGTAGATGCCTTCCTCGGGTAAACTTAAGAATCCCAATGCTCCTAAACGATAATTAATTGTGACAACAACAACATCATGTTCTATTAATTTAAGTGGATAGAAACTATAATTAAAATCAGATAAATTATTTAATTTAATTTATTTTAAATTAATGAGAACTAACGAATCACTGTTTCCACTACCAAACCAGAAGGCACCACCATGTATCCAAACCATAACTGGCAACTGTTTTTCATTAGCTGATTGAGGCGCATAGACATTTAAATGGAGACAGTTTTCTGAACCAACAATTTTTTGAAGAAAAGGATCACGATGATGTGATATGTCGCGCTCTTTAGAACAATCCAATTCTTGTACATCAAATTGTTTAAGTGCCACAGGTGACTATCCAAGTCGAAAACATAATTAAAATACAAATTAACAAATTAATTAAATTAAATCAATTAAAATTACCTTAAATCTAAGCGATCCAACTGGTGGTTTTGCATATGGTATTCCTTGAAAACTATTAAATGGTTTTCCATTGGGCAATAACTTCTGAACACCAGCAAGCGTTCCTTGTTTTATTTGAATTTTGATCATCTCTCTGTACTGTAGAATTTTTTTTTATTTTAAAAAATTCTTTTGCTAGTTTTAATTTAAAAGTTTTCAGCTTTTACTTGGACGAGTACCTGAAGTTAACTGTAAGACAGACCTGGTGAATACTAAATAAACATTTTCTCGTGTTTGCATCAGTATTTATAATTAACTTGGATTATGATTTGATTACTATGTAAGAGAAAACTGCCAATAAAATTAATAGCTTCTTCCTCTCCTTATATCGCATTTTCCTCATTTAATCATAATAACTTGATTAAAAAATCTGTTTTATACTTGGAAGACAGCATTTTGCAGAATTGTTTCAAAATATATTATTTTAAAATACTTTATAAATTGTATTGCATTAATTATTCTAGATTATAATTTATAACATTATATTATGTTTTCCTTTGCCTTTGTTTTTTAAATGTAATAGAATGAAATGTAGACGGAAATGTAAATAATAAAAAGGTCTCACATTAAATACCTTTGGAGAAAAGATATTTAGCAATTTGCTTATGGCTTTGTTATAAACAAATTTAAATACAGTCAAACTTCCATAAATCGAAGTCCAGTTTTGCAAAGAAAAGGTTCGACTTATGGAAACTCGAATTAGAGAATTTTGTTTTTTTATTTTTGAAAAAAACTAGAATTATATTTTAAGATATTGATTTATTTATTTGAAATCAAATACAGCACAAAAGTTATAGTGAAGTGAAATAATTAGAAATGTGTTTGGGATTTTAATTTTTCTTTTTGTTATTTTCAGTAAGCAGACATTCCACTTTATTTAAAACCTTATAGTGATCAGTTGTAATATCATTCTTTTGCAAACATAAATTCAGAATTTTGAATGAGTCTCCTACTTCATGCTTGGAAGGCCGATAAACCATTATATCTACCGAGTCCTCATCATCACTTTCCATTGCGCTTAGAATTGGATACAATAATTTACAGCTCTATAGTGCTCAATAATATCGTCATCTGTAGGAAAGTTTGATGTACAAATTTCATTGTCAAGCAAAATATAATGTAATGGTTAAGAGTATCCTTGGAAATTATTTTATTTACTTTAAACCACGTTGCAAACGACTGGTTTTTGTACAAAGCAACATAAGAAAAAAAATTAAACTTTTGGTTTGGAAAAAGGGACTTCCCCTAACAGCT